GCACCGATCCTATCGATGTTGATACAAAATAGATGCTAGATCATACTGTAAAAAAACAGTAGAATAATAAACCCTTTTAGAGTTTATGAAAGTGTAACGTATAGTAAACCCTTTTTACTTGATGTCCAAATTTCCACAAAATCTTTTATAAACCCTCACAAAAGGTTTGTGAAAAGGTATACGATTTTCATATACCCTTTCATGTAATCTTTCGATGGGTATGCAAGAATTTATTGTACACTTCCACTCACTATTATATTGCTGAATTGAGATAAATTCTGAGAAAAAGAGTATACACGTATATCATTTCAATAAAATGATTTTCTTCTTCTTACGAGTTATCTGAATCCAACAATTTATTATTAAGTTCAACTGGTGTTGTGTTTAAGTGGAAAGTAGTAGGAGCCTAGTTTTTTTCGCCTACAGATAGAGCAAAGTCTGCATTTTACAATGAATATCTTTAGAAAAAAAGCATGTAGTTTAAGACTTACAATTTTGAATTTTTTAAAGCCACTAAAAATGACCTGTAAGCGGGGTAAAATTGGAGATTCCTTTATATATTCAGTTTGTGTTAATTTTAATGTTTTAAAATGGGATATAAATTTTGACTAGCTTCGTAGGTTCAATTCCAAAAACATTAAAGTTAAATACATTTGGCCCTGTTGAGCTAGAAAAGCATCTGTTGATGAGAAAATCTGCACCAAGTACTGTTTTGTATGTGTTTTGTATTCCGTCAATCGTCAGCTTAATCCAATGTCTTTTTCTTATATTTTATACAGATTTTGTAGTACTTGAAAAACTGCTTCTTTTGGACACTTTTCAATCCAGCATTTTTCTTCTAAGTTCAATTGAAAATATAGATTTTTTTTATTTAGAATTATCTTATACAATCAGCTGAACTTGGTAAAAAGATTGCTATTTTAAGATAAATCTAAAGAAAAAAATTCATCATGAAAAATTATTCAATTTTTTTCTTGAGATTCATCTTAATTCGACAATAAGATAGAAAGTTCGACTGATTGTATAAAATAAGTGTAAAAGAAAAAAGTTATGCTACATATTGAGTTGAACCTAGTTTTATATATTTAAACTAAGACAAATGGAAAATACAAGGAGCAGTTGGTTGACGCAGGCTCTCTGGCGGTGTATTGTGTCATTCTAACCATTGATTGAACTGAGAAATCACTTTTTTAAACGCATTCATTATATCTACAGCAAATATCGGTGGACTAATATAGAACACGATAATCTCGTAAACACAGATATTGATCGTATGTTCAAATTATAACGAGATCAGTTGATACTTTTTTTGATGATCATTTGACGACTGTGACAAATCAATGTATCATAGTGTATCATTCATAACATCTTGATAATAAGTTTTTATATGTACAAAAGTCAAAAACTGCATTGTTAAAAAGATGAGGCTTTTTTCGTTGCTACTGAACTCAGAAAGAACGAGCCTGATGCTTTCTGTCTGAGGTTGTTTAGGTCTATGATGACGAGGAGGTGGCCGTAAAACTTCCGCTTACAAATTACATTCGCTATTTTCTGCGAAAATATAGATGAGTTCGACAAATATTGAGATTTCGATGATAAAGCTGGTCAATTTTGTTTATAACAGATAACAACTTGATGATAACAATGGATTGTCATTGGCATAGACTGAAGAAAACGAACAAAAGCGGCTTTGCTATTGTCATAAAGAGAGACGAGCAAAAGTTGTTGTTTTTCTCGCAACTTTCAATAGATTATGATCAAAAATAAAAAGCATTACTAGTTGCAATCATACATATATATTGAATCTGTGTTACAAACACCGTAGAATGATATACTTCTCAGCATAGGATAACAAATCCTTCGTGGAAAAGGTGGAATAATAAACCCTTCAACGGTTTATGAAAAATTATATATAGTATAAGCATTTATTATTCTACCCTTTTGTTTTACAGTGCAAATTAGGCAAGTGATGACGCAGATGTATGGGTTGCAGGAGTTTACCACACCTCGCTATTTTTTCATTTTGCCGACAAGACATTGTGATACGGTATTGATCAATAGTGAACAGAACTGGTTTCAGAACCATTATAAACTATACTTTCTATGTGAATGTTCATACGAGCCAAATGAGATGCATGTCGCTCCTCACGGAGGTTATTTAATTAAAAAGCCGAGAGACTTCATTTTGCAATATGGATCGTATTTAAGAACAACTTTAAACATCGTTCGAATTCTATTCTCAGTTGGACGTTTTGATCTTCAACAGCTGCCAGATATACCAAAAGAGTTCAATAATGCATCGTCATCGAAATCTAACACTCCTGAGGACTACCTAAGCGTAAAACAGCAATTAAAGTTTGTTGAAGCATTAATCGATAAATTCGACAACACACGAACTCTTCCAAGTTCTTCAATGACTGTCATAAAGAACACAGGAACCATGCCGCTTCCGATCAAAGAACTACGTGAACTTGAAACATATCTAGAACTGATCGACAGTAAAAGTAGTCTCGGGAATTTATATCGAACTACCACCGTCGACGGCCATGTTGTCTGGGTGTGTCTCAAACACTATGACGACATCGGCATTAATAATAAAATGCGTAAATATATTAGTGACTTTGTGGCCATGGGAGGCAAATTCAATGAAAGCATCAAAGAAGCAGTTGTAAGCCAAGGTAATATGACTAGCAGAAACGTTAAGATGCTGTGTGATGCACTCACAAAAGGTTTTAATATTGTAAAGTTAGTGTTTCAAGAGTGTTCATTTCACGAGGGTAATCTCGACATGTTGCTTGACATTTCTATTAACCGCTCTTCAATTCATTGTCTGAACATGATCACGGTTCATGTTTTGAATTATTTAGGCAAATCAAAATATACATGCAGATATATGGTCATAGAGTTCAATAGTCAATCATTGAAAGTTCATTTCTCTGACACTTATCAAGATGGAAATGCCCAGATGCTCACTAGGATTTTGCGACAAAACAAGACACGTCGAAAATTAGAATTTTCTGCGTTGGAATTTCTCTGGCATCAGAATGATCTTCGGCGATGTCTTGAGGCGAACGAAATTATCACAGGACTGATTGTGGAGCATTGCAACAACATTGATCTCCTCAATACTATATTTACTTTGAAAGCAAATACACTACNTTTCAGTCTTTTGTTTTGTGCAAATTATGCAATTTTTTCTCTAACAAACTTGAAACTTTTCTTAAAAAAAATGAGCAAACCTGAAGCTTTTTTGTTAAAATTATGACAGAAACCCATATAGATCAAGCTGAAACGTGTTGTTTGCTCTCTTTTTGTATACGATTAGTCAAAAATAACTCTGATATAGAAAGTATAAGCATGACATACTTTACAGACCTGATTAGTCTGATTTTATTTTACTTATGGATCAAAAATGTGCTCGAAAAATATTCATCAGCTAGTTATGTCCTTTTATTAGCTTTGAATTGGAACTAAAATTTCATTTAAAAATTAATTTGCACCTTATAACCGATGGAACAAAAAGATTTCATCTATACCGAAGAAGAGAGCTTAACAAACTTTATATTGATGGAAAAAATTAAAGTGTAAACTGAGATAATATGCACAATGGTCATTTTTGAGATGGCCAAAGTTAGGTATCTGTCATTTCTCAAAACATCAAAATCGCTTTGTTTATGTCAAACCAGTGAAATGACTCAGAAAAAAACAATGACTTTATGAATGAATATTTTAAAGTTTGTGTCAAGTGTTGTATCTTGACTACTTATTCGATTGGACTGAAATTGCCAGGGAGGAATCCAAACTCGTAGCATTGTACAGTATATGTAGAAAGAAATCGATTCCAAGATTAAGTTGCATAGTCTGTTGTCTGAAGCAAGACTGTTTTTTTCTCAGTAACTTGATCTTAAAACGAATATCATCACTTCATAACATAGAATTGTATAGTAGACTTTCTTTTATTGAATCCTATGTTTACAATTTCATTTCAAATTTAAGTGAATAATATCTGACTCTAAATTCTTAAATAGGAAACATCCAGTTGATGGTAAACTTGCTGATATCTAAAAAAAATCGTAAATTTGATTCTATATGAACATTTGAATCAATCATATGTCAAATTTCGAAAGCTCCAAGTTTTACATGCTTCAATGAGTTACTAGAAAATAGACTTGATTTTCTTTTCTAGTACCAATTGACCATGATGAATAAATCGAATCTAAAAAAAGAAACGATTCTTATGATTGAATACGTTGGTCATCCAATACGGACATTAGTAGTATACCAGGGTATAAAACGTTAGAAAATATGCAAACTTATCTATTAAAATATTATAATTCGAAAGTTATTTGGAACCAATTAAATACTAGTATAATAAAGATATGCTTTGGATGATCCATTTGAGACTCACGTAAATGTGTATCTCTTGAAAGTTAGACTCATATACAAAATAAGGTATTTACTGTAGGTTATCAATAGATCAATGATAAATTCAGAGAAGCATAAAGATGGATGCTTCTGGTTATGTGACATGCCAACATGCAATTCTAAGCTAAGGTACATTGATACTTTGTTCGAAAAAAATATGAGCCACAAAATATGATAAATCTCAGGCATCCACAGTTAGGAGAACAAATTCTCACCAACTTGTGAAACCTATTTCTTTCCTAAGAAAATATGCAGAACTCTAGTTTTTCTGTAAATATGAAGTATGTGCATACTTCCAAAAAAGAAAAGAAAGAAAATGAAAACTTCAGAAGCTTATTTATAACCCCATAAAAGTTTCAGAAATTTTGTGGCTTACGTCGCTGAAATTTCCGTTTTTTTTTTGGAAAGTCTCGCAATATCTCATTAAACAATCTGATCTTGTAAATAATTCAGATAACCTTGAAGAGATTGTCTCGAAAATAATTAGATTAAAGTGTATTTTGGGAAAATAGAATCTGCTTTTTTTTTTATAGATTATCAACTTACAGATGGACACTAACTATAGTGACAAATCAATGTATTTTCGGGTCGTCGATTTTAGTCCATTACCAAAGCGAATGCTAGCACCCATCGAGGGCTATGAAAAAATGCCACTTGTATCAATTGAAGATGCAGTAAAACCTCTTGTTAGCATCGTACCAAGAGTCGAACGTAATGTATACATCGTCAAACAGAACTGTAAAAATCCAGCAGATGGCTTAACAACTGATGAATCTGCTTCGATTATGCTGTATACTTACGAATCGATGCCACATGAAAACTCTCTTTATGTCATTCTCAACGAAACATTACGTTCGGAAGAAAGACAGAAACTGATTCCTTGGTTTTCCTATTTACGACTTGTATTAACAGCAGTGGCTCGTCTACCGTCCGATCGACATTTTATCAATCGAGGAGTTCGAAAAAACTTACGTGCAGAATATCCAACAGGGAGCACTTTTATTTNAGAATTGTACAGTAGACTTTCTTTTATTGGATTCTATGTTTACAATTTCATTTAAAATTTTAGTGAAAAATTTCTTACTCTAAATTCTTAAAATAGGAAACACCCAGTTGGTGGTAAACTTGCTGAAATCCAAAACAAGATCGTAAACTTGATTCTATGTGAGCATTTGAATCAATCATATATCAAATCTCGAAAGCTTCAAGTCTTACATGCTTCAATGAGTTACTACAAAATAGACTTGATTTTCTTTTTAGTACGAATCGACCATGATGGATAAATCAAATCTAAAAAAGAAATGATTCTTGTGACTGAATGAGTTAGTCATCCAATACGGACATTGGTAGTATACCAGGATATAAAACGTTAGAAAATATGCAAACCCATGTATTGAAATATTATGATTCAACAGCTATTTTGAACCAATCAAATACTAGTATAATAAATATATGCTTTGGACGATCCATTTGAGGCTCACGTAAATATGTATCTCTTGAAAGTTAGACTCAAATACAAAATAAGGTATTTACTGTTGGTTATCAATAGATCAATGATAAATTCAGAGAAGCATAAAGATGGATGCTTCTGGTTATGTGACATACCAACATGTAATTCTAAGCTGAGCTACATTGATACTTTGTTCGAAAAAAAATATGAGTCACAAAATATAATAAATTTCAGGCATCCACAGCTATGAGAACAAATTCTCATCAACTTTTGAAATTCATTTCTTTCATAAGAAAATATGCAGAACTCTAGTTTTTCTGTAAATATGAAGCATGTGTATACTTCCAAAAAGGAAAAGTAAGAAAACAGAAATTTCAGAAATTTTGCGTCTTCAATCGCTGAAATTGCCTTTTTTTTTTGAAAGTCTCGCAACATCTCATTAAACAATCTAATCTTGTAAATAATTTAGATAACCTTGAAGAGATTGTCTCGAAAATAATTAGATTAAAGTGTATTTTGGGAAAATAAAATCTGTTTTTTATAGATTATCAACTTTCAAATGGATACCAACCATAGTGACAAACCAATGTCTCTTCGGGTCACCGATTTCAATCCACTACCAAAGCGAATGCTAGCGCCCATCGAAGGCTATGAACATATGCCCCTTGTATCTATTGAAGACGCAGTAAAACCTCTTCTTAGCATCGTACCAAGAGTCGAACGTAATGTATNATTATGACAGAAACTCATATATACCAAAGCAAAACGTGTTGTTTGCTCCCTTTTTTATACGATTAGTCAAAAATAATTCTGATATAAAAAGGTATTCGCATGGCATATTCTGCAGATCTGATTAGTCTGATTTTATTTTACTTATGGACCAAAAATGCGCTCGATAGATATTCATCAGCTAGTTATGTCCTTGTGTTAATTTTGAATTCGAACTAAACTTTCATCTACATATTAATTTGCACCTCATAGCCGGATAGAACAAAAAGGTTTCATCTATATCAAATAAGAGAGCTTGACAAACTTTATATTGATGGAAAAAGTTAAAGTGTAAACTGAGATAATATACACAATGTTCATTCTTGGGATGGTCAAAGTTAGGCATCTGTTATTTCTCAAAGCATCAAAGTCGCGCTTTGCTTATGTCAAGCCAGTGAAATGACTCAGAAAAAAAACAGTGGCGCTATGAATGAATATTTTAAAGTCTGTGTCAAGTGTTGTATCTTGACTATTCATTTGATTGGATTGAAATTGTCAAGGAGGAATCCAAACTCGTAGTATTGTACAGTATATGTAGAAAGAAATCGATTCTGAGATTAAGTTGCATAGTTCGTTGTCTGAAGCAAGACTGTTTTTTTCTCAGCAACTTGATCTTAAAACGAATATTATCACTTCATAACATAGCGAATTGCACAGTAGACTTTCTTTTATTGGATCCTATGTTTGCAACTTCGTTTCAAATTTAAGTGAAAAATATCTTACTCTAAATTCTTAAATAGGAAACACCCAGTTGATGGTAAACTTGCTGAAATCCAAAAAAATCGTAAACTTGACTTCATGGGAGCATCGGAATCAATCATATGTCAAATCTCGAAAGTTCCAAGTTTTACATGCTCCAATGAGTTACTAGAAAATAGATTTGACTTTCTTTTTAGTATCAATTGACTGTGATGGATAAATCGAATCTAAAAAAGGAAACCATTCTTGTGATTGAATGAGTTGGTCATCCAATACGGGCATTAGTAGTATACCAGGATATAGAACGTCAGAAAATAGGCAAACCCATGCATTGAAATATTATAATTCGAAAGTTATTTTGAACCAATTAAATACTAGTATAATAAAGATATGCTTTGGATGATCCATTTGAGAGTCACGTAAATATGTATCTCTTGAAAGTTAGACTCAAATATAAAATAAGATATTTACTGCAGATTATCAATAGGTCAATGATAAATTCAGAGAAGCATAGAGCTGGATGCTCCTGGTTATGTGACATACCAACATGCAATTCTAAGCTGAGCTTCATTGATACTTTGTTCGAAAAAAATGTGAGCCACAGAACATGATAAATTTCAGGCATCCACAGTTATGAAAACAAATTCTCATCAACTTTTGAAATCCATTTCTTTCATAAGAAAATATGCAGAACTCTAGTTTATCTGTCAGTATGAAGCATGTGCATACTTCCAAAAAAGAAACGAAAGAAAATGGAAACTTCAGAAGCTTATCTATAACCCCATAAAAGTTTCAGAAATTTTGCGGCTTACATCGTTGAAATTTCCTGTTTTTCGAACGTCTCGCAATATCTCATTAAACAATCTAATATTGTCAATAATTCAGATAATCTTGAAGAGATTGTCTCGGACATAATTAGATTAAAGTGTATTTTCGGAAAATAAAATCTATTTTTTTGTAGTTTATCAACTTACAGATGGACACTAACTATAGTGATAAATCAATGTATTTTCGCGTCGCCGATTTTAGTCCACTACCGAAGCGAATGCTAGCACCCATCGAAGGCTATGAAAACATGCCACTTGTATCAATTGAAGATGCAGTAGAACCTCTGGTTAGCATCGTACCAAAAGTCAAACGTAATGTACACATCGTCAAACAGAACTGTAAAAATCCAGCAGATGGCTTAACAACTGATGAATCTGCTTCGATTATGCTCTATACGTACGAATCAATACCACATGAAAACTCTCTTTATGTCATTCTCAACGAAACATTACGTTCGGAAGAAAGACAGAAACTGATTCCTTGGTTTTCATATTTACGACTTGTATTGACAGCAGTGGCTCGTCTACCGTCCGACAGACATTTCGTTAATCGAGGAATCCGAAAAGACTTACGCGCAGAATATCCGGAAGGCAGTACTTTCATTTGGTGGGGATTTTCATCTTGCACCTTGTCCGTCAAGGTGTTGGAATCTGAAATGTTTTTTGGAAAAACTGGAACCCGTACTTTATTTCAAATCGATTGTCATACGGGAAAGAATATTAAAAATCATTCATTTTTGCCTAAGGAAGATGAAATTCTGTTGCTTCCTGGTAGACAATTTCAAGTTAAATCATGTCTCGATTCTGGCAACGAACTCCATATAATACAAATTAAAGAAATAGAACCACCGTATCCATTACTTGAACCCGTTCTCGTACCAAGTCTAATAGAACCTGCCCAGAAGAATGCTAATGTTGAGTATAAAGCAACAGACAAGAAAATTCAGTCAACAATGTCACGTGAATCAGGCACAGCATCATCCAAAGTGTCAACTATTCCAAAGACATCTTCAGGTAATAATTCATTATGAATAGAAGAAAGCGCAAATTAGAATCCTGAGAACAGATCAATTAGTTTATAGTCGATTGTGAGTATATGAATGAGTGAATATGTGAAGACAAGGTCCACATTCATCCTTTTACAAGAGAACTTGTCACAACAACGATTTTTCAGCTCCGTTTCGACTTCTCTCTTGGTTCTTATGTAAATGCATGACATAGAAAGGGATGGGTGTGCGTGTAGTTCCATGCGAATGATACGACTATTTACAAATTTTCATTCATAAGATAGCTATGCTTACGATGTTTCTCCATAAGTGTGAACATTGATTGCATACTATCCCACTCTGTATTTAAGTCTGTATGAAGCTATTCATAGAAAAAAAGAAAGATTATCGTTATCTCAAGAGAGACAAAAAGAGAAAGGAAATACTTACATTTTTGAAATCTTTCTTTTATTAAGCTCATGTTCTTGTAGCTGGAGTAATTCGCAGATTTTGAATACTGTATGAAACTACGAAAATAAAATATGATCATAATTTATATGAGAACGCCGTCAGCTCGAAATGTATCACATCATATTTTTTGTATCTTGTTCAATTTTTTCATGAAATTACTCATGATTGTAGTTGAAAACCAACGATTTTCAGCTTATAAGTATCAATGCTGTTTGGAGCAATAGTGTAAGAGTTCCTTTTGATAACGATGCTTTATCCGGTGTGTTAGCATGCAGTAGAAAATAGTGTGTGAATGAATCGAAAAAAGTTTTGATATCTAAAGTTGGAAGGTATATTTTGAAAGTTTAAGCATCAAAATATCTTTTGTTACCGTTCACAAAGTATTTTTGACTACGTGCTAATTTATTGGATGGTCAATATCGCAAAAAAACCTTTTCATGCAGAATATGGTTCACTTTCCATGGGTTTATCCGAATAAAAAATTGTACCAATGGTACATCGAGTTATGCATGATGATCATTATTGAGTTCAAATACCTTACAGCATATTGTGTTTATTTGCTTGACTCAACAAGTAAATCAACTTATCTCATATTGATTTTATTTCAATTTTGACAATGTGGATTGATCAAAATTCAAAGTAACACCAGTTATGTGTTTCGAAGTGCATCAATAATTACCGAAGTAATCTCCGAATTCTATTGGGAAACACCTTTGTAAACGAAATTTCATTCGGACCCGAGCCAGGGCATAAACAAATGGCCCGTTTAGAACCCAGCTACGTTCTACAGATAAAAAGCAGAAAAAATCATGTGTTTTAATCAATCTATTTTTCCATGTGTGTGCAGGCGTGGTTCCTGA